ATGCAATTTCTAGCTATTCCCATAAACACGCTGCACATGTCACAATGGAGAAGATATTAGTGGCAGCCGACTTCCAAAAGTGCCAATCAGTTGAGGTTAGCTTTCGAGCTGCCTTGTTTAAGACACTCTGTTGACCTGCTCAGAACAGGTTAATAATATCGTTTTCTTTCAGGATAAAGATGGAATGACTATTTGGAGGTGTTTGTTGGTCTGATGCTAAAAAGCCTGCACTGTAGCATTAAAGCAATTTAAGTGTCTGTAGAAAGAATAGAAAAATGGTCTCCGTAGAACAAAAAGAATTTCTTGCTGCGGCTGAAGTGAATGCATGTAGACGGGAAGTGGCGGAAAAAGGCTGAGGGCCAGTTCACACTACATGTGTATCAGTTACTTTTTTTCTGCATCCAAAATGCACAGAAAGTAGGTTATATGGTTGTCAATGTCATAGTTCACATCAGTGTTTGCAGTTCCAGTGCGTTCCGGTTGCAGTAAAAAAAAGTAGAACATGCTGCATTTTTTCAGCACAAAACTGTACTGGAATGTGGTAAAATGCATCAAAAACGCACAGGAAAGCACATGTCCCTATTTAAATTGAAGAAAAGAGAGGGAAAAAAATTAACTGGAATGAATAAAAAACGAACTGGAACATTTCAAAAACACATATAAATACACACCGGAATGCGTTAAAAAATGCTCATGCTGAAACGCATCTGGAACGCATCTGCACTGCATTTCTATAGTGTGAACTGGCTCCGAAGGAGATTGGCAGCACTGATATGCAGTTAAAAAATATGAAAAGGGTGAAAACTGTATTTTAAGAAACAATTATACACAATAATTTAACAAAATGATTTACCAAAACCAAATCTTACTGAATTAGGGTTTAGATCTACAATCCAGTAGCTTGCAGTTGGAATCGACTAAGCAGACTTTGCCTGGCGTCAGAATTTGTGATTTGTCATTTTTATATAAATAAATATGAAATCCTTAAGATTTTCCCTCTGAGCTTCTTTGCTCTTAGTTATCCATGTGGAAAGAAAACCAAGTTATTGATATTTTTTGAAGCCATACTTTTACATAAAATAACTGATTGTTTTTCACAGCCTAGCAAAGTAGATATGACCGCAACCCATTGTGGGTCTGTAATCAGAAAAAAGTTTAATTGATTGTAAATATTGCTACAGGGTGGCACGGGTGCGCAAAATTACGTATATATACGTGATTTCGCATTTCCAGGTAGGGGGCGTGTACTCTACCTGCGCCTCCATTCATGGCCACGGCTGTCAATCACTGGGTCCCGGCCGGTGATTTCCGAGGATCTCTGACAGGGAGGAGAACTGTTTTGTTTACTAACAGTTCTGCTCCCTGTCAGCTCGGGCACACTGCTTTGGATGGCTGTGCACAGCCATCTACAGCAGTGTGATTACAGTGAAGCACACTGACACTGCCCCCTAGTAAAAAACACTCCCAGCACACACTTAACGCTTTGATCGCCCCTCATGTTAACCCCTTCCTGCCCAGTGCCATTAGTACAGTGTCGGTGCTTTTTTTAGCACTGATCACTGTATTGGTGTCACTGGGGATGTCAGTGACACCAAGTCAGTTCCCCCCCAGTGTCAGAATGTCCACCGCAGTCCCGCTATAAGATCACCACCATCACTAGTAAAAATTTAAAAAAAATCACATAACACAGCACAGTAACGCAAAAAAATGGGGGGTAAATCCTCTGGAGGGCAAGTGGTTAAAAGCATGTAGTTTTACACTATGGGCTGCCATTTTTTGGAAAGTATATTAAGCGGTTTTGTGGTATCTTCTGAGGTTTCCGGTTCTTAAAGGCACCCTGCCTCCATAGTCCCTGGTGATGTGATGTTATGTGATGTGACTTACCTAGCGTGGTCAGTTTGAAACAGGAAAAAAAGGGGGACTGTCAGGATCATAAGGTAATTTGCATAAAAGAAGCAATATAAAGAGAACAAAATACTTTTTTATACAAGTAAATGGTAACAGAGACACTTATCAAAAATATGAAATGTTGGGTAACATACAGTTTAAGTAGTGTATGGATTATTTCTGGACAATAAGGATATCATTTAGTGTCACTTTAACCGCTTGCCTACCAGGCACTTCTACCCCCTTCCTGCCCAGGCCAGTTTTCAGCTTTCAGTGCTGTCGCACTTTGAATGGCAATTGCGCGGTCATGCAACACTGTACCCATATGAAATGGTTATCGTTTTTTTCACACGTATAAAGCTTTCTTTTGGTGGTATTTAATCACCACTGGGTGTTTTATTTTTTGCACTATAAACAAAAAAATAGCAAAAAATGTGGGGATAGAAAAGTTTTTCTTTGTTTCTATTATACAATTTTGCAAACAGGTCATTTTTCTCCTTCACTGATGTGCATTGATGAGGCTGCATTGATGAGGCTGCACTGATAGGCGGCACTGATAGGCAGCACTGATGGGCACTGATAGGCGACACTGATGAGGTGGCACGTATAGGCAGCACTGATAGGTGGCACTGAGGAGCTGGCACTGATGATGTTGCATTGATATGCAAGAATGATGGGCACTAGTAGGCGGCACTGATGGACAGCACTGATGGATGGCACTGACTGATGGTACTGATTGGCGGCACTGCTGGGCACTGATGGGTGGCTCTGACTGATGGCACTGACTGGCGGCACTGCTGGGCACAGGTGGGTGGCACTACTAGGCACTGATGGGCACAGGTGAGTGGCACTGATGGGCACAGGTGAGTGGCACTGCTGTGCACTGCTAGGCGCAGGTGGGTGGCACTGCTGGGCACTTGTAGGCGGCACTGCTGGGCACAGGTGGCTGGCACTGGTGGGTGGCACTGATCATCAGGGCACTGATGATCGGTGCCGATCCGACCTCTGACAATTACCGGTTATCAGCAATACTTCCCTCGTCCTGTGACAGCATGAGGAAAGTGCAGCCGATATCCGTCAACTGCATTTACCTGGTGATTTACATTGGACACCGCTGATCATGTGCTAAAAGGCCACAGTGATTGGCGTTTTACCACATCGCATGATCAGCTGTGTCTGTAGGACACAGCGATCGCTGAGTGACACCCTCCCAAAACTGGACAACCGCACTGTAGCCGTCATTCGACTATAGCGCAGTTGGCAAGTGGTTAAGTAAACACGGATCCCCTCATTCCTTTATTTTTTACAGTAGAGCAGCCTCTCTCAACCTTTTCAACACAGAGGAACCCTTGAAATGACTTTTTGGTCTCGGGGAACCTCTGCTAAAAATGACTATATCTACAGCTCATGATACATTCATGTGATGGTCAGTGGGAAGAATGTTCCTTATACTTGTGGTCATTGAGAAGAATTACCCCCTTATAGATAGTAAAAATATCAATGGTGTCAGTGGGAACCTATCTGAGAGGTAGATATTGCTCGTTGCTCAAGGAACCCTTAGCAATCTCTGGAGGAACCCTAGGGTTTCATGGAACCCTGGTTGAGAAACCCTGCAGTAGAGGGTAAAATATTCTACTTATATTGTAATCTCCATATATTGTTTTCTTGCAGTATAGTCATTCATTTCTTCTTTGCACATTAAGACATTAAGCATGTGCCAGATATTTTTTCCCCTTAGCATGACAGAAGGCTGCTCGTAGTTTTAAATGCTACGGATGATTCACCGCAAAATAAGCACAATGTTTTCTGCCTGGCATACAATTAGGAGTATTGCTCCAGCTCCTGGTGTTTGTTCAGTAGTAATGGAAGATCAGAGGAAGGATCAGCTGAACCTGTCACTGGAGGCTCTCTGTCACAATGATGGGAAGTCTTCAGTAAATAAAGTATTTCAATGCTTCTAATCTGGCAGCCCGGCCAACAGGCATCAGTGATTGGAGAAGAAAAACAATCACTCAGGAGTGAAATTACCCCTAATAAGGAGAATTCAGCTGTTAGTTAAGAATTGACTTCACAGTATATTACAGAAGCTCTTTAAATGGATGAGGAACTTTGCTATTATTCTAGTCTCTGGATTTACCAAACCTAATCCTGTTTTGTCAGCACTCTGGGGGAAATTACAGAGGCAGGGATGTGAATTTATTTCCCAGCCAATGGAAATGCAACTGCAACTTATCCGTCAATTAATTTTCAAATTGTTCTGTGAATTTGTTTGCCAATGTGATCTGAAGGTGTATACACATAACTGAATAGATAACATATTTGGGCCTCATGCACACAGGCTTGAAAAATGCAATTTTCGGAGATGTCTGGTAATTTTTTAATGCTTCTGAATGCAGCTGCAATATGTCTATACACATGGAGGTATTTAACTACTTGCCCTCCAGAGGCTTTACCCCCCGCCCTGACCAGGCCATTTTTTGCGATACAGTGCTGCGTAACTTTATTTGACAATTGCGCGGTCATGCAATGCTGCACCCAAATTTAATTTACTTCCTTTTTTCCCACAAATAGAGCTTTCTTTTGGTGGTATTTGATCTCATCTGTGGTTTTAATTTTTTTGCGTTATAAATAAAAAAAGGCCGACAGTATTTTTTTTTTTACTTTTTGCTATAAAACATATACATTGAAAAATATAAAAAATCAAATTTTGTCATAAATTTAGGTCATATTGTACTCTGCTACATGTCTTTGCTAAAAAAAAAAATCCCAATACTTGTAAATTAATTGGGTTTACATGAAAGTTATAGTGTCTACAAATGGCAGTATATATACTGGAATTTTTTTTAATATAAGTAATGGCGGCGATCAGCAACTTATAACAGGACTGCGGTGGGCATTCTGACACTGGGGGGGGAACTGACTAACTGCCACTCACATCCCAATGACACTAATACAGTGATCAGTGCTAATAAAAAGCACTGCCACTGTACTAATGGCACTGGGCTGGAAGGGGTTAACACCTGGGGCGATCAAAGGGTTAACTGTGTGTTGTTTTGCTGTATGTGCTGTATTTTACTAGGGGAGCATGCTGCTTTGTATTGTTCTGCTATGGGGTGCTGACAGGGGAGAGATCTGTGTTGTTTACACACAGACCTCTCCCCTTTCACTGTTCCTTGGCGATCACCAGGTGCCCGCAGGGGGAAATTTCCGTCCGCGTTTCGGTGATTGACATCTGTAGCAGCCAATGGCAGTGAATTTAGGGCAGGGTTATGATGATGATGATTACTGTATACATGTCATATCACTATAATGGAGTTTTATATTTTGTACTCTTAATTATAAAGAAAAATGTAATTTCATAAGCTTTAAGGGGCGTGGTTGGGGTGGGGTGGGGTTTTGGGGTGGGGGCGGGGGGGGGTGGGGTTGGGGGCAGACCTGGGCAAGGTTGGGTGGGGCAACTGGTGGAGAGTAAGTTTTGTGACCGGCTAGTAGGTCTGGACTCGAAATTTTAACCCCTGGATTAAATAATATACACTGATTTGGCTATTTTTACCAAAGAAATGTAGCAGAATACGTTAGCCTACATTTATGAAGAAAGATTTTTTTTTTTTTCAAAATTTTATAACAGAAAAATAAAAACTTGTTTATGTTCGGCCAGTCTGCATACAATCATAACAATTACCAAACATTTAAAGATTACTGAGAAATGTGAAAATCTTAAACATCAGCTACCATTAAAGCACATAGCTAATTACTTTCATAGTTAACCATATATGGTACATCCATTGTATCCCATCTTGCAATGTCATTACTGCTTTATAGGCCATTATGCCGCCAAACAGGTTTTTACTGCTGGTCTTATAGCAGGCATATCGTTTAATGTGTCTGAGCCATCCTCATATCTAGTAGTAGAAGAATTGTAAAGGATAGGCATATTTTTCTGTTCATCCTAGCATAAGAAATAAATGTTTATGGATGTGTGGGGTAATGAGTACAGTAAGCAGAAGAGTGGTTTAAAGCCATGCAATGTGTTCAAAAAATACAATTTCTTTACTTGTTATCCAGCCAGTTTGCATAAGTATAAAAACCAAGACGTCAATATATTCATATATATGCACCAATGATAGGGGGACAATGCAAAGACAGTTATCATCCATTAGCAGGAAATACCTTAAACAAAAAAGGGTACATTTACCCCGGACCAGTACAATGGGGGTGGGGGAGCAGAAGGGGCACCTACTGTGGGTGCAGTGTTTTTATGTAGATAGGGTTTGCTGAGAGCTTGCCAGTGCCCCATTCTCTGGATGCTTGAGTGACAGGAGTGATGCTATTGTCACTCCTGTCATTCTGAATGCAGAACATAGGAGTAGGGAGGCAGCTACTGGAGGGAGGATTCTGCTTTCTAATCCCTCCAACAGCTGTAGAGAGTGGGTGGGGTGACACTTATTCTGAGAACACAGACACCTCCTTCTTAGCATGGGCACCTGCTAGGGAATGAAGGTGAACTGCCCTTCATACCTCCCCTTGTCATGTGACATCACACATAGAGGGGGGAAGAAGGGGAAGCTGCTTCCCCAAGTTAGTCCCAGAGCTCCCCTCTCCCTGTCATGGACATCTTACCTCCCCAGGGCTCATTTACACTTGCAGCTAGCAGTGGTTAAAAAATGCAATTGAGCCACATTTTACCACCCCCCAACTATTCCCCTTTAAGCTGCAAAAGCAATAGATGGGGGTACACATGCAGCAGCAAGAATTTATCCTCCTGTTGTGCTCAGAGGGCGGTATTGCCACCCCGAATTTGACCTATTTGACTGAAGGGGCCATGCCACAAGCACACTGCAATGCATGTGGTTGCAGATGGTGGCAGGGGCTTTTAGAGGTTAAAACAGATGGTAAGCAGGTGACATAATGCCTCCTCACTGCCTGACCAGTGCCTTCTGAATGGTGGTTGATCTTCAGAGGGATAACGCTAGTGTAAACAAGTCCTCATCCTAATTCAGGGACATGGGGGCACTTTTTCCTTCCAGTGACATCGCCGATGCTGGACATTTTTCCTTCCAGTGCCACTATCAACACAGGGGCATTGTTCCTTTCCATTGACATCATCAGCATAAGGGCATTTGTTTCTTCTAGTGACACCACGGTCACAGGGACATTTTTTCTTCCAGGGCAGGGACACCACTGATACATGGTGCTTTCACTGACAGTAAAGCAATTTTTCCTTCCAGTGACACCACCAATGCAGAAGCAGTTCTTCCTTCCAGTGACACCACCAACTCAGAAGCATTTCTTCCTTCCAGTGACACCATCGATGGAGGGGCATTTTTTCTTTCAGTGACACTACTGATGAAGGAACATGTTGCCTTCTAGTGACACCACCAAAGTAGAAGCATTTTTTCCTTCCAGCTACACCACCGTAGCAAATATTTAAGTAGATTTACAATTTCACCACTGCAGTTATCTGACAATATGCCAAATAGCTGCTCCCCCACTATGTACTGTGGTTCCTCCCACTGGCCCATTCACTACAGTTTTAGACAGAGAGGTGAAGGGTTAGGTAAACCAGGTACTTTGGGGGAGGTTTAATAAAACAGGTGCAGCTGTGCATGGTAGCCAATCAGCTTCTAACTTCAGCTTGTTCAGTTAACCACTTGTCCTCCAGAGAATTTACCCCCCTTCCTGACCAGGCCATTTTTTGCGATACAACACTGCGTTACTTTAACTGACAATTGCGCGGTCATGCAACGCTGCACCCAAATGAAATTAACATCTTATTTTTCCCACAAATGGAGTTTTCGTTCAGTTGTATTTGGTCACCTGTGCAGTTTTTTTTTTTGCGCTATAAACAAAAAAAGATCGACAATTTTGAGAAAAAAAAAAACAATATTTTTGACTTTTTGCTATTAAACATGTCCAGTAAAAAAATGGTAAAAATCAAATTCTGTCATAACTTTAAGCCAAAATGTATTTTGCTACATGTCTTTGTTATAAATAAAAGAATCCCAATATGTGTAAATTAATTGGTTTATGTGAAAGTTATAGCGTTTACAAATGGCAGTATAAATACTGGGATTTTTTTTACATTTTTTTTACTACTAATGGCAGCAACCAGAGACTTATAGCAGACTGCAGCAGGCATTCTGACACTGGGGGGAACTGACTTGGTGTCACTCACATCCCCAGTGACGCCAATACAGTGATCAATGCTAATAAAAGCACTGACACTGTGCTAATGGCACTGGTCATGAAGGGGTTAACATCAAAGGGTTAACTGTGTGCTGTTTCACTATGGGGGCTGTGTGTGTGCTTCGCTGTAAGTTCTGCTATGCAGAGCTATACAAAGCAGTGTGCTGGAGCTGACAGGGGAGAGATCTGTATTGTTTACATACAGATCTCTCCCCCGTCGGAGATACTCTGTGATCACTGGGTGCTGGCGAGTGATTGACAGCCGATGTCGCTAATGGTGGCGCCAGTAGGGGTTCTCGCGCGCCTTCTACCCAGAACTGCAAAATCATGTATATTTTCTCACCCACGCCGCCCTGTAGCAGTATTTCTGTTATAGGGCGGCACAGAAATGTTCAATATTTCAACAAAAAAAAATAGGAAAGCTGCTTGGTTTCTCTGTAGAACTGCACCAGATTCTGCATCATGCAGTTTTAGTAAATAACCCCCTATATGTCCTTGACAAACTTTCAGATTGGGTTCAGTAAGGCTAACTGTATCTCTTTTCACTTAAAAACATTCTCAATACCTACATATAAAATAATTGTTCAGCTATTTTTCTTTTTTCCTTTTCCTCCTTTTATACATTGTTAGTCTTAAGGCGTCTCATTGGTAACACCAGCCTTCCACAATTTATATATGAAAGCGAAAGCTTATTGTATGTGATATGGAAGCATAAAAATGATTGACATAAGCTTTCCCTTGTGTAAATGAGGGCAGTCAGGAGCATTTCTGTTGTATATAGCTTTTTGTGTATGTGTACATCAAATACAGAGCTACTTGTTCCATGTCTCTTGTGCTGTTTTGAGCCTTTTACTTTATATGGTGTATGGGGTGATACTGTCAGGCTGGAAGAAACAGATTAATGCTGGCTGGGAGCTCACATCACTTTTATGTTGTGTTTATAGTTTATGAAGCTGTATGCCAGAGAGACAGAACATACTCCGGGGTTGTTTGCTATATTTTGCTTCCTTTCTTTATGATCAGTCTTATTATATGTTTTTTTAAAAACAATATTAAACCCAAAACCAAACATGTCATGTCAAATGTGGCAGCTTGCCAATCATTAGATGTGGTGGCTGCAGTACTTTTCTTTTTTAGGCTTTTCCCCCTCTTTTTTACTTGGTAAAGTAGCCAGTAACACACCTACTGTATTAGAGTGCCTCCACTCTGGATGAAGGAGCACAGGGGGCACTGCAAACAGCAGCATTGTCAGTCTGGGGGGTGGAGAGTGTGAGATGCACTAGCAGATTTAAATACTGTACACTAACAAGCTGAAGCTGAACTCCAGCCAGGGGCGGACTGACCATTTGGAAACTCTGGCACTGCCCGAGGGTCCGGGGTCAGTAGGGAGCCCCATGAGATGCCCCTGGTACCTTTTTCATAGGCTTTTTTGAGTTTGGGCAAAGACACAGGGGCCCCATGATCTCCTATTGCCCGGGGGACCCATGAGTTGTCAGTCCCCCACCTGACTCCAGCTAACACTTTACAAGAAGTTACAGTAAACAGTTTTTTTTTTTTCCTTTTTGGGATAAAGGTTTACATAAAAGCTGATCATTGTAAGCGCCCCTGCCAGTGACACATTCTGTTACTCTAAGTTCACGCGTTTTCTGCAGCGTTTTGCATTTTTTGGAAATGCAGTGCAGTCCATTTAGCATAATTTCCTATGGGACATGTTCACATCAGTGCGTTTTCATCCAGTGCATTTTTTGGAAAGGGTCATGGATTTTTTCAATTTTGCCTTTTTTGTTCTATAGACTTCAATGGAAACAGTCTATAGGCTGCAGAAAAGCACATATTGCATTTTTGCCATGTTTTTAATGTGTTTTTGTGTTTTAAATCTGCCTAGCAACAACAAAAATAATTAAAAACAAATGTACCCCCCCCCCCCTGCAAAACGCATCAAAAACGTGTCAAAATTGCGTAAAAAACTCAACTCAAAATGCAATGCAGAAACAGCTCAAACACAACCTGCATAGGTGTGAACCTAGCCTTGAGCCTAGAGAGCTTGTTTTTACAATATAATGGGAGACAATACAGCAACAATACAGTTCAATACAAGAGGGATAGGAGGGCCCTGCTCCTTGGAGCTTACAATCTAGGAGAAATAGAAGAAAGAACTTCTAAAAAAGAAAAATAATGCAACTATTTAAGAATCGGTAAGCTGAAATATAATAAATGTTTGCTGTTGGGCTAAATATTGCTTTAATTAGGAGTCTGTGGTCACCTTTACAACAACAGATATTCATAGATGGACACATACTATGTTTCCATATTTGAGATTTTTTACGGTTTAACCATAAATGCCCATTGCTGCTTGATTTTACCAAGATGAGGAACCTGCAGCCTTAACTTCCAACTGTCCCTGATTGGAGGGCCTGTTCCTATATTGGAACTGTATAGACCTATATGAAAAAATACAGTAAAAGGATGTATTTATAAAAAAACAAAATTGCACAGCAAAAAAAAAATGTATTTGTATCCTGAAAAACTACATGTACATTTATTCCCTGAAAATGGGGAAAAAAATTGGATTGCTATTGCTAAGCTATTTTCTTTCTGGGTTGAAAGTTGTTCATTTATACTTAATAGAGCGAATCAAGACATTACTGCATTATGGCCACTAGATGGAGGTAGTGATCACATAAAATAAGTATTTATTTATATGATTGGCAGCTCCATCTAGTGGCCATAATGCAGTATTTTCCTGATTTACTCTACTTTTTATAAATAAATAAATGGTAATAGCCTAAAAGGGTTAGGCAGTAATCCCTTTAGCATCTGAACACCTAATATCCCCCTAGATATTGGGCAACGTGCAGCACTATAACATATATAAAACCCCTCAAACCAATACATATGTACTGTGTATTTACAAAGAAAAAAAACGTGAAGAAATGAAAATATTCAACGTGACTACATACTTATAGCCATGCTCATGTAAAATCAATATTGATTAATCACAATCTGTGATACTCAAAGTCCATATTTAAAGTCCTGTAATAAAGTTTTATCCATTGCTTAATAAAGCACAAGGAATAACACGTTATTATGGGACTCTGAATATGGATTTTTGAGTATCAAAGATTGAGAAAGAGGGAGCTCACAGGCTGGATTGATGTGAACTTGTTTGTAAGATACTTATCAAGAACCCCCTCTTTGGAATATATGTGCCTTGACTACCTTGACATTCCATGCTGTCTTTATGGTGACTTACTTACATTGGGTCTGGATGGTTCCCATTGGGAATTTGGTCCTTCTATTTTCAGAGTATGTGCACAAGACCATTGGCTATTTACTGAATGTACCTGAATTTCCCACCAGAGAGGCAGTGGCTTCACCTTGGTCTACTCGTTTGCATCTCTATGGGCATCATACCCATGCTATGAATTCCAGTCTACCCTACTGATTGATACTACCCTATTAAAGATAAGGAGTGGGTTCCAGTGTACTGATTCTGTCACTCCTGAAGAAGGATTTCCAAAACGCATCAAGTCAACATGTGAATTGTAATCGGAATCTTTGCATGTTGTGAACCCCTATATGGACAGCAATCTTTAATGTTGTGTAATAGATTTAGAATGGTACACAATGAAGTTGTTTTTTATAGGAATCAGTTTCTCTTCTTTATGTCCACACAAAGTCTGTAACTACATATTTTATTCACACAGGGCTTTTTTTTCTCAGAGAATAGTTGCAGCAACTCCCCCTTTTGAGTCACTTCTTGTCTCTGCCCCCTACCCACCTCCCAGTGAGAATATAGAGCCAAGTATCATTTTGTGGTGCTAAGTAATTTGTATGGAATTTGTTAATGATAACAAGAAAAGCAGTAAATTAGATCCTCAGCAGGCAGCAGCAAAATGCCCTCCCCAGCCACTATAGACCCCCAGCAATAATGGACTCCAACAACAATAGACCCCTGACAGCAACAACAGATTTCCCAGCAGCCAGCATCTATAGACTCTCCAGCAGCCAGCAACAATTGACTCTTCCCTGAACAGTAGATCCCTTTTAGCAACAACTGACTCCCCCCAACAATATAAGCCCCCCAACAACAATAGACCCCACCCCCACCAGCAACAATAAACCTCCCCAGCAACAATAGACAGCCATGAAAAATAGATGCCCTCCAGCAAAAATAGATCTCATGGCAGCCAGGAACAATAGACCCTCCAGCACACCCTGCACCCATTGCCATTACATACATTTAGTCCTGAAGATGCCCCACATTCCTGCTGTAAAAAAGTCCTGTTCAACAGTAGATCCAATTCTGCAACAATTGACCCCCAGCAACATGACCCCATCCAGCAACAATAGACCTTCCCAAAAACAATAGATCATCATGCAAATATAGATCCCCTCCAGCAACTATAGATCCCCTAGCGGCCAGCATTAATAGACCCTCCAGCACACCCCTGCACTCCTTGCCATTACGCACATTTAGTGCTGGAGGTGCCCGTGCTCCTGCTGAAAAAAAGCCCTGGATGTACATGATTTGCTGTGATGTGTACATATAGCACACACAGTCTAAGTTTCTCTCTGGATATAGATCGGTGGACAACATTTTATTGTGAACAAATGTGCCACAACCATTCTTCTGAGATACGCTGTCAGCTGACCTACATCCCACCTTTTCTGTTCAGAGACTTTACTCTGATTTACTAACATCAACAAGACTGGGACAAATGTCCTACGACAGATGGTAGAACGGATACAGAGGAGGGCCCCCCTGGACATATGCAGAGGAGGGGAAGACACCCTTGGACATCTCCAAAATACAATTTTCACAATAATAAATGCAGAACGCTCCTGAAGGAGCCGCTGATAAACAAATTCTTTTCCCCATGATTAACAGGCACTCAAAATTTTCCCCATCTCCACTGGCTCAAAGAAAACAGTCTAGGGTTGCCTTTTTGATGTTTTATTAAGTTGAACTGGGATAGGGTTAAGAGAGCATGGGATTCCCCCAGAACTGTAGAAAAAGTCTCAATCTCGCCACAGCTGGCAGGTCTGTAGAAAAAGTCTCAAAATCTCTCCACTGCTGGCAGGGCTCTATGATTTCTTCCAAAGAACTGGTAGCTGCACACAGTCACTAACATCTAGCACTGAGGTCATCTACTCACAATCTACTGGGCACTCTCCAGTGAGGAAGACACAAACTCATAATACCACAGGACAGCTGGACACTCTTGACCCAACTTCCACTGGGTACTATTCAGGGAGTTCTCCTGACCCAGAAACTTCAAGTTTTGCAAATAGGCCTTCCAGCTGTTGCTCCAGCTGGGACCTTGATGACCTCTGAATGGCAACTCCAGCAACCTGCCCCAGTGGCAGGGCCACTTTTTCTCCTTTTCTCATCTGGCAGGACTAGACCCAGCAACCTCTCTTCTCTACCTCAGGCCTCAGACTATTTAGAGGCACTCCAACCATCTTCTGGGCACACCCCTCCAGGGATTGGCTGGATCCTCATAAATATTCAGGCTGCCTCCTCTGTTCTTCCTCCCATTATAAATCTAAAATCCACTAGAATATAAGGGGAAACAATCAGATCAGCATCCTGTTAGGCACTGAGCAGGCTACAGCAATCAACTCCACTGGTTACAGAGGAGCCAAACTAAATTTGCCTAGCAATCTACAGTCAAGGGCGCATTTACCGCAAGGCAAACAAGGCATTTGCCTAGGGTGGCATCGCCGCCCCCTGAAAGAAGAGATGGAAGAAAGGACACACACAACATGGGGACCAGGTGGGATCTGAGAGAGGCTGTGGGCTGCTTGATGGTGTATGCAAAGCCTGACTCTTGTTCCCAAGGATGTCTGGTGCTGTGGAGGAGTCTTTTCTCTCAGTTGAGGGGGGCGGTGGTAGCGGAAGGCTCTCTTGGGTGGGGGTAGGGTGTTGTTGGTCATTCTTAAGGCTCTCTTCGTGGGGGAGGGGAGTGTTGGTCGGTGTCAGGGTCTTTCCATGGGGGAGCCGATTTTTGTGCTGCCTAGGGCAGCACGAAACCTAAATACACCACTGCCTACAGTAACAAGGAGGGTGCTACATAAATATCTACTTGTACTACTGTGTTGTAACTATGCTGTCTCCTTTCATTTTGTAAAGTGCTGAGCAAAGTGTTGACGCTTCTGTATCTTTTTCTTTTTTCGCACATGCATTGGAAATTGCTTCTACTTCCGATAAGAGGCTTGCCCTAAGTGGATGGACATTTGCATTTTATAATTCTTACCTTTGGATGGACTTCGCTCATAACTATTGGGACTATTACCATTGGATTTTATTATTCTGTTAGCGATCGCTTTCTTTTGCACCTTTTTTTTATTACTATTGCTATATAAATCCTGTATGATAATATTACATTATCTATATTCATCCATTTAGATAACAGCTCCTCAGCTATACAAATTCTACAACATTGATTTATTTCAGGTACTTATATAGCGCTGTCAATTTACACAACGCTTTACATATATTTATTGTACATTCACATCAGTCCCTAACCCTCAAACAGTGTACAATCTAAAGTCCCTAACTCACATTCATACATACACATACTAGGGACAATTTAGACAGGAGCCAATTAACCTACCAGCATGTCTTTGGAGTGTGGGAGGAAACAAGAGTACCCGGAGGAAACCCACACAGTCACAGGGAGAACATGCAAACTCCAGGCAGGGAGTGCTGGGGTTGGGATTCGAACCAGTGACCCAAGTACTGCCACTGTGCTGCCCATTTGCCATATACTGTATATAGTAAGCTCCAACACAGTGATCCTGCACTTTCATGGGGGTGTTTCACTCCGAGCTATTCCAAGCTGCAGTGCATAGGTACAGTGAGTAAAGAAAAAAAGTTAAACATTAAAAAAAAGAAAAAAAATTTTTAAAATTAAAAAAAAAAAAAAAAATAGGGCAGACTCAATGGACCACTTGGTCATTTTTTTTCTGTTGTCACTCTTCTATGTTTCTATGGAGATGTCAAAAGCCAGGTTATGAGATATCATTTTTGTATTTAATTTTTTTATGCTGTACTTTTGACAACTGGTACCTTTTTTAACACAAGCGTGGCTCTTCCATTTTTAGGGAAGATTTTCTTTAGGAACAGAGGGTTGGAATGATCAATTTGTCAAATATGCAGTTATGCCATTAGTGGTATTTTTAGATAATATAGACTGGTACCATTGGGTTTAACGTACCAAAGCAATAGAAAATGTTCACTTAGCTCAGTGAAAACGATTCATCTATGTTCATTTTGAATACTTAATCATAGGCAAGAGATTGAAAAAAAAAAAAGGATTTTGCCATGTGATTGGATGATTGCAGTGAACTCAACTTCACTTTATTCAATGAACTGAGACCATTCTTTACATCTTTGGAGAATCAACTCATCTATAAATTTTCAAAGCAGAACGGACCAATACATGCATTTAAAAGGACATATGAATACATAACAGCAGACTGTACAATCTTAGGCTACTTTCACACTGATCCGCCGCAAAAACGCCTAAAAAACGCATAGGCATTTTTACTGCGTTTTTACCACGTTTTTGCGGCGTTTTTTAAAGGACACGTGACTTAACCTCTTTCCGCCTGGCCCATTGCTGATAAACGGCCAGATGGGAGCGCTGCCGATGAGGGGGCACATTTCTAAACGTCTCCCCACGCATCCATTGCCTGTGGCCGCTTTGCGGGGAGAGCGCAATACAGCGATCTGTGACCGCTGGGTCCAACGCATGCAGTGGAACACAGATCGCTGTACGGGACCTCTGCGGGAGGTCTCAATTCATGTGATCCCTGATTGGCCAATCAGTGATCACATGAACAGTAGTAAACAACTTCCTGACATCATTGCTTACTACGTGTGAAATCTGGGAATGATCACAGAGATCACATGGTACAAGGCTATATTCACAACAGCCTTGTACCATGTGACAAGCTGTGACCAATTACAGCTCTCACAGTATTTCTCAATGGCTGCAGGAATGCAGCCGGAGATAAATTGAAATGAGTGCTTTTACAACCTTTATGGGTGTAAAAGCAATCAGTGTAAAAAAAAAAATCTTCATCACCCCCCACAAGTAGTACAGTGTCACTATGGTGACATTGTACTGCTAGGGTGACTGTATAGTATGCAAAAAACCCCAAAAACATAAACAATAATATAAAAACTAAATTATAATTTTTTTTTATTAACTAATTTGGGTAATTATTTTTTTTTTTATCAAAAAGACAGCTGAATATATTTTGGCCAAGATTTGTGAAGAAAGATTATTTATTTGCAACATTGTATAAGAAAGACACTTTTTTAAAAAACATTTTGGTCATTTTCATTTATTTAGCAAAACAATGAAAATCCCAGTAGTGAATAAATACCAGCAAAATAAAGTTGTATCTGTCTCAAAAAATGCTAAAATTTCATATGAGTACAGTGTTGCATGACCGCGCAATTGTCATTCAAAGTGTGATAGTGCTGAAAGCTGAAAATTGGTCTGGACTGGAAGGGGGTGAAAGTGTCCAGACTTGAAGTGGTTAAAACTACACCAAAACTGCTTCTCAGAGTCATTTTTCAGGCGTTTTTCATTGATTTCAATGGGAAGAGGCATTTTTGGGGTGTTTTTTTAACTCCTTAAACATGGCCCAAAGATGCTGCAAATAGGAATTTTTATACCGCACCCCAAGCGCAACTATGTATGAAAACATACATAGATATACATTCACATACATAGGGATGCAGTTTTCTTGAGCTTTTCAGGCACTTTTTTAAAAGCAAAAACGCTTGAAAAACTCCTCATTGTGACAGTAGCCTAAGTAGCAGTCAAAACTATTTAACAAAAGAAAGCCTTGTCTATGTTGGCCTAAATGTACAGCAAGCCAACAGATGAGTTACTATTGTATCTTTCATTGCCAATGATATTGGAGGTGGACACAGGGTGGCACAGGGTAGCAGAAATGGATTTCACTGGAGGAAAGTCAAGAGCTGCTGAAGTGTTTCCACTTAAGGGCTCATGTACACTGCAGCTGATAAACACACGTTCAGGAGCTTTTCTGCGTTTTTTTCAGCAGCCCCTGAACTCTCCCTAATGTTTTCCTATGTGTCCATGTACACTATGTCGTTTACAGGCAGTTGAGTTTACAGTTGTTTTTTTGAACACACCAAACTTGCGTTCAGGAGCAGATTTTATCAGCATTTCAAATGCCAAACGCTTGTAAACGCTTGTAAAAGCAGCTAACCATGTTTATGTGTGTTTGCGTTTAGAAGCATTTTTTTAGCTGTTCCATATCCAGATGCAGTCCAGAGCCTTTTTTCATCATCAGAAATGCATGCAAAGCGTTTTCCATGTATTCATATGGACCTAGCACACCAGTGCAGTCAGTTGCAGGTTTTACGTGAAGGAAAAAATGGTAGAACGTGCTGCATTATGCTCATGATGGGATCCATAGTGAATACAACCAGAAAAGACAGGTAATCTCAACTCATACTGCTCTCTCTGCTTCTGCTCTCTCTATTTCTCTCAAAAGGTCTGAAATAGTTAATTTTTACTATTTTTCAGTGCATTCTGGGCATTTTGGAAGGTCTCCTGATGTTATCTTTAAAAAATGCTTCTAAACGCAAACGCACATAAATGCAGTATGCAAATGTGGCTAAACAGACATTTTTTAACCTACGTTTTCCAGCAGTCAGTTTCCATCGTTCAGAAGAGTTTTCCAAACATCCCGTGTACATGAGCCCTAATACTGCCAAGTCTGCCTTGCTTGGACACTGTATATTTTAAATTGGAGGTGAGGATTGCTGAAATACAGTATGTGCGCTGCTAGAATGACATTTGTATGCACAGTATGGTAGCCACTTCTTGAACTGTCAGATATGGTTTGGCTTAGGTCATTTAAAACTGTCCTAAAATAGCTTAATCTATGTATGTATATTTCAACCTGTACATTTATATATACTATTTCTAACTGATAGATGACATAGAGGTTTCAAGAATAAATGTACACATATTTCAAAATTTAAATTTAAATGTTACATATTAAGATCTCTTAAATGTAAAAATGTTCAAAAACTCACTGAACTGGTACAATTTGAACAGTTTCCTTGAAAGTCGCTCGCTGTTCTGATTGCTTGTGTTACTGCAATTTATCTACCCCAAAATGCAAAATGTCTACCACTGATTGCTTATCAATGACACCATCTGTATGAAAAGCAAAGATTGTTTTTTGCAATTTTGGAGAAGGCTGCACCAGGGATCGTTGGCAGATTGGAGCAGGAAAAGTTTAATACACTGAAGTGGGCTTGATGGGGGTTAACGGTTTTTTTCTACTTTAATCCCTGTTAGTTTAACCCCTTCACGCCTGAGGGTAAAACAAATCTTAATGCCTAAGCACAATTTTGCAACTTTGACATGTGTTAGTAATACCATACATATCATCACAACTACTTTGTGCATCCTGGTGGATTATACCTTGGTTTTTTTTCAGGACAAATTGGCCTTTTATTTGGTGGTAAATGGTAATGAATATCTCTTTTTTTATTATCAAATGAAAATTGACCGAAAATAGAAAAAAAGTTAGTTGTATATTTCTTGCTACTACCATAACAAACCACCAAAGAACAATCCAAAATAATTTCTCCTGCTTCTGACAATTGCAGAGATACCATATATGTGTATGTTAGTTGTTGTTTGTACCTGTAGTACGGCCCACAAACAATAGTGCGCATTTTGCGTTTTTTTTTTATCCTAACTGACACTGATACTAATTTAAAAAAAAAAATACTGACCCTGACCTTTGACCCTCACCTTGACCCAAACACTAACCCTGACACTGACCTAGATCAAACCTTGATGTATTTTTTTTTTTTAATTTTTTATTTATTTATTTTTTATATATTATTATTCTTATTTATTTTTTTACAAACGCTTTTTTTCTCTCTGAAAGGACAGAGAAATATACAATGTATCTCTCTCCTCCATTCAGAGAGAGAAAACAAGGGGGGAGGGCTTCACAGTGACTGATCACTGTGATATCCAATCAGAGGCTTTCACAACGATCATGTGACCCGGAATTGGGAGTTCATTAGAATGGGACCCAAGGCTCTTACTGACACCTTGGTCTTTGTGCTGGGAGTGCGCCGTGCAGCCCGCTCCCAGCACAAAGCAGGTATGCAAATTAGCAGCCCCACGGAAAAAAGCCCAGTTCAGTGGGGCTGCTAATTTGCTTAAGCTCTGCTCCAAGGGGTTAAAGTATTCATTTTATTCTATCATTTGTTTAATTTAAAATCTCACTAAAATTGTAGTATAAAGAATTGTGTTTTAATGTTTTTTGTAATGCAACACTGAAAAAATTAAAATAAATAAAAATGGAAAAAAGTTAAATATTATGCATTAGAAAAATATAAATAAAAAATTGCAGAAAAACAATAGGGAGAGAAGGGGAAGAAGGAGTTCATTAGGACTGATTACGGTAAACTAATGAATAATAAGGGGTTAAATTGGAACAAATTTGATTTAAAGTGACTGCTAACCTTTATCTGAACCCAGTGAAGCAACTGGCCTCAGGTGATACAAAGAGATGGAACAAATCCTCCTACTGGGCAGCACAGTGGCTAGCACTTCTGCCTAGCAGCATTAGGGTCATCAGTTCAAATCCCAACCATGGTACTGCCCAGGGGTGGACTGACAACTCCTGGGGCCCCCAAGCAATAGGGGATCATGGGGCCCCTGTGTCCTTGCCCAAACTCAAAATAGCCTATGTAAAAGGTGCCAGGGGCATCTCATGGGGCCCCCTACTGACCCCAGGCCCTTGGGCAGTGCCTGAGTTTCGAAATGGTCAGTCCGCCCTTGGTACTGCCTGCATGGAGTTTGCATGTTCTCTCTGTACCTGTGTGGGCTTGTTCTGGATTCTTCTCACACTCCAAAGGCATGCTGATAGATTAATTGGCCCTAGTATGTAAATGTGACTTAGGGGCCTTGGATTGTAAACTCCTTGAGGACAGGGACAGATGTGAATGCACAATATATGGAAAAAGCTGTCTAAATTGACAGTGCTACATAAGTACCTGTAAAAAACAATAGATAAGTTGTTCCTGTCTATCTGCAGCTACCTGTCCCCTACATGCATTCAAAGTGCAGAATTTACTCTTGATCTTTCAGCTCTGAAAAGTAGGGGGCAGGGATCTGAAGTTACATTAGTGGGGAGACCTCTGAGAGCGGATTGGAAGGAAGACATGTACCCAGGAACAGAGCTGCCCACTTGGAAGAAAAATATATTTTAAAAATATTCTTCCAAATATATTGACATATATTTGAAATGCTACAATTTTGTCCATATTCAATATATTTCAAATATATTTCAATAAATAAATAAATATATATCTACACAGTATCTCACAGAAGTGAGTACCCCCCTCACATTTTTTTGTAAATATTTTGTTATATCTTCTCATGTGACAACACTGAAGAAATGACACTTTGCTACAATGTAAAGTAGTGAGTGTACAGCTTGTATAACAGTGTAAATTTGCTGTCCCCTCAAAATAACTCAACACACTTCCAATAATGTCTAAACCGCTGGCAACAAAAGTGAGTACACCCCTAAGTGAAAATGTCCAAATTGGGCCCAAAGTGTCAATATTTTGTGTGCCCACCATTATTTTCCAGCAATGCCTTAACCCTCTTGGGTATGCAGTTCACCAGAGCTTCACAGGTTGCCACTGGAGTCCTCTTCGACTCCTTCATGAGGACATCATGGAGCTGGTGGATGTTAGAGACCTTGCGCTCCTCCACTTTCCATTGAGGATGCCCCACAGATGCTCAATAGGATTTAGATCTGGAGACATGCTTGGCCAGTCCATCACCTTCACCCTCAGTTTCTTTAGCAAGGCAGTGGTAGCCTTGGAGGTGTGTTTGGGGTCCTTATGCTGGAATACTGCCCTGTGGCCCAGTCCCCGGGGGGGGGGGGGTAATG